CATCCTCGTGTACGTCGACGACTTGGTCTTTGCCACAGCTGACACTGCTGGACTCGCCTACGTGAAGTCCGAGCTGCAGAAGAGACACACGTGCACAGACCTGGGTGAACTGCGCAGCTACCTTGGCTTGCAGATCACCCGGGACAGAGCACGCCGCACCATTACCCTGACTCAGTCACACATGGTGCAGCAGGTCCTTCAGCGCTTCGGCTTCACGTACTCCTCGCCTCAGGCCACTCCTCTGTCTACTCGCCACTCGCTCTCAGCTCTGCCTTCGGATGAGTCCGTAGAGTCGAGTGGCCCGTACCCAGAGCTTGTTGGCTGCCTCATGTACCTGATGACCTGCACACGACCTGACCTTGCATACCCTCTTAGCATTCTTGCACGCTATGTTGCTCCTGGGAGACACAGACCAGAGCACATGGCTGCAGCGAAGAGGGTGTTGCGCTACTTGTGCAGTACGTCGGGCATGGGGCTAGTGCTTGGAGGGCGGAGTCCAGTGGTCCTCACTGGGCACGCGGACGCTTCTTGGGCTGACGACCAGGCTACGCAGCGGTCGTCACAGGGTTACACCTTCAGCCTTGGTTCCGGCTCTGTTTCGTGGCGGGCTACTCGCTCGTCTTCTGTTCTTGGCTCGAGTTGTGAGCCTGAGATCTACGCCGGGGCCATGGCTGCACAGGAGCTTCGCTGGCTCACCTACCTGCTGACCGACCTTGGAGAGCCGCCTCGTTCTCCTCCAGTCCTGTACGTAGACAACAAGGCCATGCTGGCCTTGTGTCGAGAGCAGCGACTGGAGCACAGAACAAAGCACATTGCTCTCCGCTACTTCCTTGCTCGTGAGCTACAGCAACGTGGACAGTTGCGGCTTGCGTACGTGGCCTCTGAAGCCAACACTGCTGATGTCTTCACCAAGGCACTTCCGCCTTGTGATCATCAGCGCTTCTGCACTCAGCTGGGTCTTGTGCCCGTCTTGCCTCACTTGCTCTCCTCTTGACCTTGCTTGTACTCTCACATATATATATACCTGCTCTTGCTTGTCTAGCTTTATATATATGTGTGTACTCTTGCATGTGAACTGGCCGTGTGGCCTTGACCCTGTGCTCGGACTGTGTGGTGACTTTGTGATCCACCCTGAGCTTGCTTTACTTTGCTTTGCTTGACTGGTCTTGTGACCCCTTGCTCTCCCCCACTTTGCCTATGGGGGTGTGTCAGAACATTGTAGCTTATGCTGTTGTGTAGGCTATAGTGGGGTATCCCATAGGGGGTACAACCAATTAGGGTTTCATATTTGTACTCACTTCATTTCATAGTTCATCCATTCTTGATCAAATCTTCTCACCTCAACCCTAAAATTTTAGGGTTGATGCTCCCGAGCCGCATGCCTTCCGGATGGGTTTTAGTTTTTTTCTTGCCCGCGGGCAGATCGCTTCCGCGAGCACGCGGAAGCGGTCGCGGATTCGCCCGTGTTTTTCCGATAGGGCTCGTATGAACATTTGATTTGATCCAAAGGGTAAGGGTACCAGCGACGCTGCATAAGGGGCAGCGACTCATCGGCTTCCGGAAACCCCATGTTGACCGTTTCAATACCAATCGATCCCGGATTGAGCAAGCGGCTCCCGCGCCAAAAACTTACGCCGGCATGCCAGGCGCGCCGATCCTCATTCGCAAGCCTATACACGTGCATCGCGGAAATGCAAAGGGCCCAAAGTCACAGAAATGTAACTTTTCCGTGACTTTTTTGCGTGATGGAAAAGTCATGGTCAGAAGTACCAAAAACTCAAGTCACGGAAATGTCACGTTGGAGTCCCGAAATTTCATACAGAAAGTCACTGAAATGTGACCGGTGAAGTGATGTTCTCGTCACTTCTTGTCACTTTTTTGTTCCCATGCCACGTGGCGAAGTGGCGTTTCATCTTTCTAGATATTTTGCCAGGTGTCAATGCTGGTGATTGGTTAAAAAGGACCAATCAAATGTCAGCGAAAGATGTGCCTAACCGTAATTTTATTGGCTGACGATTCTGAACAGCGACCGCGCGTCGAATAGCATTCCGCACGTCGAAAATTTCAAAAGAGCACAACGGAGACTACCGTACGCGTTTAGCAAAATGCGTCATAATTTCAATACGTACATAATACATTGACATAGCAAAGACAACCGCACACCCACACAACTGCACATCCATATGTCCACACAGCTAACCAGATCTACTCTAGAGCCTAGTTAGGAACTAAGCCGACCAGATGAGGTCGGGACGGTACTTGATGACACCAGGAAATTTAGTCACGGAACAGTTTGATGCCTGCATAAAAAACGCCGAACGTCATGGAAGTTGCGCCGCCGCTCCGGCGCATCGGGAATCAAATAGTGGGCGCTGACCTCCATCTTGGGGTCGGTCAGTATTTTCAGCGAGTCCGCCAGAGATTGCGCCGTATAGTGCAGCACAAGAAACTGAGCCCGTGAATCCTGATTAGGAGTTTGCACCGTTGTATCGACCGAGTACTTCACGCCCGGTGTGGTACAGGCGCTCAAGAATGCAGTCAAAAACAATATATGGCCTCCAGTTCTCTGAAAACACCGAAGAAAAAATGGCAAGAGTGAATGCATCTTTGTAGATCCTCGCGGTTTGGGATTTGCTTGTGTTATATCGCAGTCAGCGACGCGAGAAGGGTCATGAGGGCTTTGACAGTCACAAAAAAGTAAGTTGAATATACATGGTCTGCTCTGCTCTGGTCTGGCTATTGCTGAGGTCTTAGTATTTGAGCTGAGATTGGTTTGGCAGTGCTTCTTTGAACGTTTTGCCGACCGAACCTGAGTTGTTTCGGTGTTTACATTGTACAGTGTTTTGTCTACGCCGCCAAGAGCTGCTTGGGAAAATACACCCACTTCTTCGTTTGATGCACCCGCGATTGTGCCACCGGCTCGGTACGTTCACTTAGAAGGTTGGGAGTGATGCGTTTATCTCACATAGAATCGATTCACACGCATGATCAGTTCAGCATTGAATTGGTAAACGTTGAAGAAAATTGGTGGCAGAGCACTACAGTTGCACGCATTCTCGCTAAAGACGAGGCCAAATTTATTAGTTATGATTAGGTCAGGCCGGCCTACAGTTGCAAAAACGTATTTATAGCCACATTTTGGGAGCAAGGGATGGCAACACGCAGGGAAATGTGACTCGCAGACGTTAAAAGCACCGAGCAAAAACGACAAGCACCTCCAACCGAAATGCGCTCGGTGAGATAAACGAATAAGTGGGTGTATGGGGAACATATGTCAATTCTTAATAAACCAGGGCCTCGATAACTTGTGGTAAAAAAAATACGCGTACGGTCACTGAGAAGGGTGTTCTTACGTGTGTCGTAAGTCGTTCACGTAATCTCAGTCCCTATTAAAGCCAGCAGGCAAAAAAGTGACCCCCCCTTTCTAGTTGGGTCCACTTGAAGATGAAGTATTTTTGTTTTGTTTTGGAAAGTTGGAAGTGCTGTGTGTGTGCTTTTTTTTCCGACCTTCGGACGAGTTTCTTATTGGACCAGGAACGATAGTTCATGGTCAATTATGATTGGCAGCCAGGTTCTCTCACATGTACATGTGCGAATTTGGCGCGAAGTTGAGCGACGAGCACTCCTGCATTCACTAGAGCCATTACTTCACCAAATTCACAACTGGCAGACACACATGTACGTGATGAGAGTGAAAGTGTTTGAACTGTCAAAATGTCATAATTGTCTAGTCTGCAGTGGGCTACTCTATATTGAGTACAACCCTGTTAGGGTTTGCTATATGTACTGCCCTGCTTACTAGTGCATTCCTCTTTCTTGTTCTAACTTCCTGCCTTCTAATTTCGACATGCTATCAGAGCCTGTCCTTCCTAGGCCTGTGGGCCCACCTACCTACTTCCAATGCTACTCCGTCTGTCGCGCGCCCCGTGGCGTGCGACGTAATTTTTATCCCGCCGCGCGCCTGGCGCGCGCCCCGGGGCGCGCGGCCCCTTTTCCTTCCTGGCGCGCCGCCCCCGCTGTTCCGTCGCGGCGCCCTGGGGAGCCGCGCGCGCCCCCTGCCCGTCCGTTGCGACGCCCTGGGGTGTCGCGCGGCCCCTGTCGTCCTGTCGCGGCGCCCTGGCAAGGCGCGCGCGGCCCCTGCCGTCCCGACGCGGCGCCCTAGGGAGCCGCGCGCGACCCCCCCGCTACCCTGTCGCGGCGCCCTGGGGAGCCGCACGCCGTCCCCCGCGCTGCAGCCCGCGCTCCTGCCCCGTGCTGCCCGAGTTAGGGTTTGGGGGTGGCGAGTGTGGGGGTGGCGAGTATGGGGGTGACGGGTGTGTGCGCCGTCCCCTGCTCCTCCTCCTCCTCCGTCTCCCACTGCTGCAGCTGCCGCTGAGGGGGGTGGATGTGTTGGAGCCGTCGGAGTTGGAGTGGTACCAGGGGGGTGGCGGGTGAGCAGAGCTAGGGGTTCAGCAGGGGGTGTGTGATAGCGGCGTGGGGCAGTTGACGGAGGTTGAGCGGAGGTAGCAGTTGTGTCGCAAGCAGCACCAGTAGTCCAGAGGCTACAATCTCCGGTAGTCGCCAGTCGCCTGTGGGTCAGTTGCTCCAGTCAGGAGGCTACAATCTCCGCGGAGCCAGTTACTCCTGTAGTCCGGGCCATTGCTTCGGTAGCCACTGAGCCAGCAGCTCCTGTGTGTCTGCAGCTTCCGCCGTCGCCTCCCATCTCCTCTCCTCTCACAGTCTCTCCTCCTCACATGCCCTCTGTGACTACCTCTAGCTTTACTTGTGCTTGTGAACTATTTTATGACTGCATGCTGTACTGATTATACCCCACTTTGCCTATGGGGGTGTGTCAGAATGTTATAATTGTCTAGTCTGCAGTGGGGTACTCTATATTGAGTACAACCCTGTTAGGGTTTGCTATATGTACTGCCCTGCTTACTAGTGCATTCCTCTTTCTTGTTCTAACTTCCTGCCTTCTAATTTCGACATGAACGTTATTAGAGCTAATAGAGCTCTGATCAATGTGCTGCCTTGGACTTGAGGCCTGGGAGAGGTGCAATAACGGGGAACAGAAGAGAAAAACAGCACTAGGGGGGAAATTATGATGGGCAAGGTGATGCGAATGAAGAGAAAGAGGGAGGGCGACGGGAAACGGGAGGGCGACGGGAAGGGAGGGCGTGGAAAACGGGAGGGCGACGGAAGAAGGGAGGGCGACGGGAAACGGGAGGGCGACGGGAAACGGGAGGGCGACGGGAAACGCGAGGGCGACGGGAAACGGGAGGGCGACGGGAAAAGGGAGGGCGACGGGAAACGTGAGGGCGATGGGAAAAGGGAGGGCGACGGGAAACAAGAGGGGGGCGGGAAACGGGAGGGCGACGGGAAACGGGAGGGCGTCGGGAGAAAAGATAGGCGACGGGAGAGAGGATAGGCCGCGGGAGAGAGGGTGACGAGAATAGATGGAAAGACAGAAAAAAAACATAAATTAAAAAACAAACAAAACACAATAACAGAGTACGGAATGGGTCACGCTGACGCGATAGCAGAGGGAGAACGAGAGAGGCGTCAGAGAAAGGAGGGCATACGTGATGGGAGAGTCGAAGGTCGCCGGGAGGGCTATTCGAGGCGAGCGAGAAGGGAGGACGTGAAGGGAGCAGAAAGAGAGAGGGCAATGGGAAGGGAGCGGAGAGAGAGAGCGCGACGGGAAGGGAGCGGAGAGAGAGCGCGATTCGAAGGGATGAGCGAGAGAGAGGGCGGAGCGGAGAGAGAGAGCGCGATGGGAAGGGAGGGGCGAGAGAGAGGGCGACGGGAAGGGTGCAGAGAGAGAGAGAGCGCGACGGGAAGGGAGGGGCGAGAGAGAGGGCGACGGGAAGGGAGCGGAGAGAGAGAGAGCGCGACGGGAAGAGAGGGGCGAGAGAGAGGGCGACGGGAAGGGAGCAGAGAGAGAGAACGCGACGGGAAGGGAGGGGCGAGAGAGAGGGCGACGGGAAGGGAGCGGAAAGAGAGAGCGCGACGGGGCGAGCGACGGGAGGGCGATCGGTAGGGAGGGGCGAGAGAGAGGCCGGCGGGAGGAGAGGAGGGGAGAGAGGGCGACGAAGAGGGCGACGGGACGAGCGGCGAAATGGCGACGTGACGCGCGACAGAGTGGGAGACGGGAGGGCGATTTGGCGAACTCGAGGATAGCGTAGTGGGCGATGAGAGGGGTGAGAGGAATGGCGACGGGAATGGGGTTCTCTGTTGTTGGAAACAAGTAACTTAAGCGCCTCTGTCGTGTCGAAACACCAAGTCAGAAGCGAAGTGAAACATATCAAAGCATCAGCGAGTCAACCCTCGGAGGTTGAACAACTGCTGGAGGTTACGCGAAAGTCAAAGGTCAGCGACCTTTGACCTGACAAGTATAGCGCGACAGCAAGGACAAACAACTGACTCGCTATTGAGCAGTTGCCCGAGTCCAAGCCCCTAGATTCGTTTTGAGGTAGTCTGGGGCCTCAGAGTACACCGCTCTTCCTAGTCTGGCTGTCAGAGTGACCTGATTTTTTAAGTCTGAGATTTCAGACTACACTTGCATTTCTACGCTGAACATACAGAGTCACAGTCAATTTTCCTGTTATAATGAAAACACTAAGTAACCTTCTTACATTTCTTCTTGATAGTCTAATACAGGTTCACGTTCTACTACTGCCTCGTCTACAGGCTCCTTCCCAGCCCACGAGGGCTCCTCTCTGTGCCTTGCAGCAGGTGCTGTGACCGGCCGGCGCTTCTTGTAGCTGCGCCATATCTCTACTACTCCTGGGACATCTAGCTCATAGTCTAGGAGTGAAATACAGAGCAGATCACTCAGCCTACAATCCTTAATGCTGCCCCTCTGCCACGTTTTGATGAGATTCTGTCGGGAGAAACCGCGCTCGCACTCGACCGTGCTGAGAGGCAGCACCGCAATCGCCACCCACAGTCCGACCAGGTTGGGGTACGCCTGCTGCCAGTCGGGTGTCCTGAGCATCGCACAAAGTCCCGTGTGGAACTTGCGCTCGCTCTTGGGGGCTCTGGCAAGGACCGGACACAGTGTGCGCAGCTCCCTCACGGCTTTCTTCTTGTCAATGCCTGCAAGGCAAAACGAGACACGGGTTTAGTAAACGAGCCATAGCCAAAGGGGGAAAGGGGCGGGGTGACACAAAACCATACCAGGTAGTATCTCGTCGGCTTCATCTGCGCGAAACAACGTGACAAGCGACATCAGCCACTCCAGGCACTGTGCCTGCCGTGCGTCCCGGTCCCAGTGAGGTTGCCACATCTCTGGAATAAACAGCCGCACTCCGGAAAGTGAGTCAAGGTCGCCGAGCTTGGACTGGAGCTGCTCGACAACGAGCTCGGCCATGTCGGTGCAGAGCGCAACGCAGGCGTGGTGATGACCAGGCCCACGATAGCTTGGGTTGGTGCGTTCGTGAAGCTTCACCTTGAAGCGGTTCATACTGCCGTCGGACGATGCTCCTTCCACCACCATTTCTGGTGTCCCTCCCGGACCGTGCTTCTCAATGAAGCGGTAGAGCCTCTCGGTCGCCCCCCCCCCGAAGTCGTCTCCACAGTCGACGTACCGAGCCTCCAGGATCGATGTGGTGCGCACAATCTGCGTGTGCACCAGCGCGTAGTCGAGCTGCATCACAAACATACAAAGAGAATTAGTACAATGGGTCTCGGACTTAAACCAATACAATCTACACCCTCAAATTCACTTACTTCTCGCTTCTGAAAAACTGAGGAGAGGACGTTGAGCTGCTCCAGCATGTCCGCGAGGAACCTGATGAGGAACTGGAACCTGTACGACGTGACGAGTTCGTACATGGTCTGGTCCTTCCACTCCGACAACATGACCATGATGGCAGGTAGGACTTGGACGAAGCGGGCAACTGCAGCTCCTCTGGACAGCCACCGCACGTCGTGTATGCCTTGAACCTCGAGGATGGTGGACGTGAACACCTCCTGGAGCTCCATGAAGCGCTGATGCCACGGCCCCGATCGCCCGAGGTACTCTGCGACGGCGCGGATCACGTCGTCGACCATGTTGAAGGTGGGTATCTTCTCCGCTGCGGCCTTGGCAGCCAAGGCCTCCCTGCCAAACAAAACCACACATGCACAGTTAGTTTTTCATAAACAAACAGATTTGCCGTTTACACATGGCGTTAAAACACAAACGCACATGTGAGCGATGCAGTGAAACGAGACCAGGTTGGGGATGAGCAGTCGCAGACGAGCAACCACACCGTTTTGACTCCCCACCATCACAGAGGCGCCATCCGTGCTCACTCCCGAGATACGCCGGAGGTCAACGCCGACTGCCCTGAGGTGGGAAAGCAACAAACTGCACAAAGATGCAGCGTCAGCCCTATCAACCGTTAAATGCGCGACGAACTCAGTGACAACTCGGCCTTCGCGGAGAAACGTGGCAAACACAATCATGTGCTTGCCGCGCCGACGGTCGGTGCTCTCATCGAGCATTATCCCGATGAAAGGGCTCGAGAGGAGGTGCTCCAGTTGCGTTGTCTGAAGCCATGTCGCAATGGCTTGAGTGAGCTCTCCAAAGCCGTACCTACAGAAGGAAGACAAGGTCGTTAGTGACGGTCAGCAAGGATACAACGTTGTACACACGGGACACACATAAGAATTTACGTACGTGTTATAGTATGTGCCGTATCCCTGCTCGGGAAACCCGGGCACTTTCTTCTTCGCCAGGTAGCGCACGAGCCGGATCCACGAGTCCATGGGCTCGTTGCACTTCCCCATGAAGTATAGCGAGTCGACGAGCGACGACACCTGGAGCAGCTCCATGTCTTGCGCTTTCGGGTGCATGTCGATGCGCTGCTGCCGCCCGTACTTCTGCAGCAAGTCCTCCTGGCGCTGCAGAGCAAATCGGTGCTTCACCGTCCCTTCGTGCTTCTTGAAGGACTGTGTCTGCACGTCTGTAGCTCCCTCGGTACGCCGCCCACACTTGCCATTCAATCCCGCAAACTCCAGGCAAATACTGCACTTGAAAGAAGGGGCACCAGAAGAGGTCTTAGTTAGAACAAGCCAACTGTAATCGGTGGACCACTTCGATTTGAATCTCTCATGCGCTTCCTCGTATTTCAACTCAGGATTATCGGATTTGGGCTTTGAGCTGTCCTGCGTGGGCCTCGGGCTGCCCTGCGTGGGCATGGAGCTGTCCTGCATGGGAGAATCGTCGCTCGCAGGAGTCACAACGGTCGATGGAGGAGGCGGAGTGGCCCAACCAAGGGTGGACTGCCGGTACCGCAGCTTCGACGGTGGCGCGGGACGAGAAGGTGCACCAACAGACGCCTCATGGGGCACCGCCTGTTGCGCAGCGGTCGCTGGTTCAGTGACGGCCTCGTGCAGAGGTGTGGTGTCTGAAGGAATAGGTGGGCGGCTCGAGCTAGGTTGCGACGGTGGCGTTGGAGGTGGATTGTGCTTCGGTAGGACAGACCTAAGAAAATCTAGACCGGTGAGAGGGTCGGATACTGGGCCGGATACTGGGCGACCGACTGCATCATCCTCGTCGTCGGGCCCATCCGCGACAGCCTCTGTAGCTGCCATTGAGCCTGCCGAGCAGAGGTGTAGCGAGCTAGGAGGTGGGAGCCTGAAACAAGGGCTCCTACACTAGTTTGAGTCCAGGCAAATGGAGCGGGCCATGAGAGAGACTGCAAGAACGGTGACCAAGAAGAAGATGAGAAACCCTCGTGTAATAGGACCTCCCATCTCCCAGAAGGTCATTGCATGCACTGCACCTGGGCGTGAATCCTTGGAAGGTGGGGTGATTGGGGTTGATGGATGGAGTCACGTGAGAGAAGCAGCGCGGTGCGAGCCCTGCGTTGGCAACTGGGAAGGTGGGGTGGGGTGGATGGACGTGGTGACGTGAGAGTGGCAGCGCGCTGCGAGCTATGCGCTGGCAACATTGAAGGCGGGGTGTGGTGGATGGTCGTGGTGTACAGCGAAGGTGCAGTGCGTGGCGAGCTATGTGTTGGCAAGGAATCTTGCCAACACTGCCTGCGGCGCAGCCGCGATTGGTCAGAATTGGGTGGGATTACAGCAACGCTGTACCAACGCAACTGTGCGTTGTCGCGCTGGCGAAATCGTGGGTTCCCGCCCGTGATTGACGGGGTTACTGCTCCACGCCGCCAGGCTGGACCCTGCCCCTGTATTATCGGATTCAGAATGCACCCCCGATACAAGTCTGAGGCACAGCCTACACTACTAAAAATAGTCTGAAATTACAGACAAGTATGTTAAAAAAACTCTGAAACATCAGACAGGGCCCCAAAAAAAATTCTTAGAGTGCAGACTAGGTACCAAAAAAAAGTCTGAACGGACTCTGATTCAGACTCTAAAGTCTGATATCTAGGGCCCTGCCCGAGTCGTCACTGTATCGAACCGCAACAGCAACAGCAAAACAGTTATTAGTTATAACCCTTCATATTCCCTTGTATTCTTATAAAAGCTTGTATCCCTGTGTTTTAATCAATCTACTTTGCCCTCACATACCAGCGAAAGGTGGTTCACAAACTTCTCATTAAACGCTTCCGCTATTACATTGTTCTACTCAGAGTTTAGTCCTGCAAAGATCCTAAGGGCTTTTCTCAGCCCAACATCTGTGATCGCGAGGAAAATATCACTACGCATCAGCGGCGACGAAGTATCACACACAATCTAATGATCATTTCATTTCTATGCCGCATCAGCCTAATCCCTCGTCTCTGGCTATTCTATGCTAGGCAAGCTCCGTGAGTTAGGCAAGCTACGTGAACGGAGTTGAAGTAAGCATATGTGGAACCCAGGCCCAGCTTGAAAGTTGAAGTTGGGTCCAACCATCAAAACGCACGACAAACAACTGTCGTGCATATGTCGCATGCAGAAAATGCGAACGCGCGAGCACGCTCTGAATTTTTCTATTGGCGGGAACGAATCACGTGTGTTCAGTCTGTGGAAGGGCGATGCCCGGAACAGTGTTTTACACAGCCCAGCGTCGTTCCACTTTTGCTTCTTCCGAGCACGATTTCAAGTTGGATCCGCCTTCTCTATTTTATATTTCGGTTTTAACTGGGAGTCAATCACACAAGTGGAGTCCCTTGAGCCACATTTCAAAGCTTGGTGGTTCAAGCCGTATATCATTTGCAGAGAATCTTGATGTGCGTCCGCATTGCAATCTCAGTCATACAGCAGCTTCGGGGGTACACCACACCAGTGGTGTGATACCACATTAGAGCCGCCTAAAAGCAGTACAATGGAACATTAACCGACTATGCATACACATATATAATATTCGCTCCAATAGCATAGCACCCGTGGGTGCCACAAGATGCACCTGATAGGAGCCTTGTTCCCCAGCTGAACAATGCCACCCCCCTCCATCCCCCTCCATCCATCCCCTTCCATCTCCCTCCACCCCCCTCCGATTATCCTCTTCTCATGTCTTTCCAACTATCCTCTTCCATCCCATCCTCTTCCACCCAGCCCACCAAACACCACCACATCTTCAACGAGGCATCAACTACTTCCCCAATCTACACTACACACTGCCACCTATCCTGCCGAGGCCACTCTAATCTTTCCCTCCACATGACATCACACCACCTCCTGCTGCCCACTCGCACCACTCACCCTCCTGAAGCACTCCCATTTCACAAGCGACCTCCCCCCCCTTGACTCACACCGCCACTGACCCCACTCACACCGCTGCTGATCCCACTCACACCGCCACTGACCCCACTCACACCGCCACTGACCCCACTCACACCGCTGCTGACCCCACTCACACCGCTGCTGACCCCACTCACACCGCCACTGACCCCACTCACACCGCTGCTGACCCCACTCACACCGCTGCTGACCCCACTCACACCGCTGCTGACCCCTCCACTCCACCCCCCACTCACCGCACCACTCACCCCCGCCCCGCCACTAACACTCGTCATAGCCCACGAAGCCCTCGTGCCTCCACTCACCCCTCCACTCACCCCTCCACTCACCCCTCCACTCACTCCTCCACTCACCCCTCCACTCACCCCTCCACTCACCCCTCCACTCACCCCTCCGCTCACCCCTCCACTCACCCCTCCGCTCACCCCTCCGCTCACCCCTCCGCTCACCCCTCCGCTCACGCTTGCTCCCGACGCCAGGGATTTCCTCCCAATCGAGACGCTCTAATGCCTCACTCATTGCTGCTCCAATCTCTCTCTCTCGCTTCACCGCACACCACCTCCTGCTTCCCATTCGTACCTCTCACCCCGACTCACCCCATTCAACCCCCCACTCACCCCCCCACTCACCGCTCCACTCACCCCCCCACTCACCACTCCACTCACCCCCCCACTCACCGCTCCACTCCACCCCCCACTCACCGCCCCGCTCACCCCCGCCCCGCCACTAACACTCGTCACGGCCCACGAAACCCCTGTGCCTCCACTCACAACCCCGCTCACGCCTCCGCTCACGCTCGCTCCCGACGCCAGGGACTCCGCTCGGGCCATCTCGGCCAGAAAGTCCCCCCCTTTCATATCTGCAACCTCCCTGTCCACTCGCTCTAGCGCCTCACTCCTCGCCGCTCCAAACAGCTCGTCTCGAATCTCTGTCAGCTCGTAAAGAAGCTTGCTCACGGATGGGCGCGAGGTTGAAGGGAGGACCGTGCAGGAGAGCGCGAGGGTTGCTAGGCGGATGAGCGAGCGGGGGTTGGGAGGTGGGGAGGAGGAGGAGGGGGATAAGAGGTAGGGGTCTGTAAAAGTTGCAGGGTTTTGAGCGGGGAGGAGGGAGGAGACCCACTGTATGAGAGTGGCTCTTTCGTCTGTGTGTTGGCCCGTGCGTCTGTCTGACTGTCCATCCACATGCCCATCCACGTGTCTGTCTATATGCCTGTCCCCAGTTCCGTCAATGCCTTTGTCGCTGTCCCCGTGTTGATGCGCGGCGGCGGTGGCAGTGCGTGCTGTGAGCAGCATGAGGGCGAGCACGCCAACGCTGTATACGTCAACGGCAGGCGACAGCCGGTGCGTGTGAAGAAACTCGGGATCCATGTACCCTGATGCGTCCCCTCCTGCAGTGCACACACCAACACCAACACCATCACCAGCACCACCAGCATCACCACCAGCACCAGCAGTACCACTAGCACCGGCATTGCTGACTTTATTGCTACCCCGCCTGTCTCGAACCCCACGCCCTCTCTCCTCCACCTTCGCAGCCCCCCGGACGTCTCTCCTCTCCGCGCCTTGCCTCCCCGCCTGACCCCCTGCGCCAGTTCCTCTCATGCCATCCCTCACACCGGCCCTGGCGCCATTCTCCGTGCCATCCCTTGTTCCATCATCCCTTGTCCCGTCGTCCCGTGTGCCTTTGCCCGTGCTGGTGAATGCGTCTCGGTTGAGGCCAAAATCTGAGAGCTTGGCGCGCATGGTCTTGTCAAGGAGCACGTTGGCAGGGTGGATGTGAGCGTGCACGAGGGAGAAGGCATGTAGGTACTGCACCGCCTGTGTTATTCCGATGAGCACGTCGATTCGCTGCTGCAGAGTCAGCTGCACCGCCGCACCTGAGAGTCGGGGCATGCCAGAGCATTTGGGTTGGGAGCAAGCGGAATTGAGTGGGCATGAGCACGGAGGGGGGTTGGGTGCAAGGGGAGGGCTTGCAAGTCGGTGAGCTTGGCGCGCATGGTCTTGTCCAGCAGCACGTTGGCGGGGTGGATGTGAGCGAGCGTGCACGAGGGAGAAGGCGTGTAGGTACTGCACCGCACCGCCTGTGTCACGCCTATGAGCACGTCCATGCGCTGTTGGAGAGTCAGCTGCACCGCCGCACCTGGGCGTGGAGGGGGAAGGGAAGGGGTGGACAAGTGGGAGAGAGCGTGTGGGGAAATGGTTGAGCATGGGCAACACAACACAGGTACTGCACCGCCTGTGTCACGCCAATCAGCACGTCCATGCGCTGCTGTAGAGTCAGCTGCACCGCCGCACCTGGGTGGTGGGGGAAGGGGTGAGCATGCGGGAGGATGCGGCAGGAATGCAAGCGTTTGAGCACATAAATCGCAGCGGGCGTGTGCATGCACGGAGGGGGGATGCAAGCGCGGGAGCATGTGCAGGAAGGGCAGGGCAGGGCAGGCATGTGCAGGAAGGGCAGGGCAGGGCAGGGCAGGTACTGGATGAAAAGCCTGCGCCATTCTGATGGAAAGGGCTACACGCTCCAGCTGCTGCCGTACCAGGTGCCCTGCCCGATGCATGGCAGCACCTGGTACTCGTGGGGGGGGAGGGGGGAGGTGGGAGCAGCAAGCATGGTTCCGCGGAAACGTGACTAAGATTCGGTTGTTACGTGGTTGTTTCTTTTCTGAGCTTTACGGAGAGCAAGCAAGTGCTGGCAAAGTGGAACACGTGGCAATACTTGCATTGGGAACCCCCACACACACACACAAACAGCTGCGTGTGCACACGTACGCACGCACACAGATGCACACACCTACGCACCCACGCACGCACTCACACACCCACAACCAAGCACACACTCACACACACGCACACACACACACACACACACACACACACATGCATACACACACACACGCACCCACATAAACACACGCACACACACCCCCACACGCACATGCGTCTCACATGGGCCTATCCAGCGAGAGAGGTTGCCATTGGGCATGAACTCATAGACCAGAACATGCTCCCTCGTCCGTGTCACTGCGTCCTCCTCCGCACAGAAACCCACCAGCCGCACCAGATGCACGTGGTGCTTTGAACCAATCTGCTTCACCTGAGAGAGGGGAAAAAGGCGCGGGAAGAGAGATGGAGGAGTTTTGAGAGAGACAAAGAGGTTGGAATAGGAGGAGGCGGGGGAGAAGGGGTGAATGTGGTCGGGAAAAGGTCGAGAGACGTCGGGTCGGGAAAAGAGACGAGAGATTGGAGATATTTAGGGGAATGAGAAGTAAGCATGTTGGAGCAGACAGTGACTCTTGAGTCAACTCAAAAGTCACCTCGTCGCAATCTCACACGACGCATTTTGAGTCGGCTCGAAATTCACCTCGATTGGAAACAGGGAGGGAAATGAGAAGTAAGCATGTTGGAGTGCGGAGAGGAGCACTGCGGCTGGCTGCTTTGCTGGGACGGGGTGGCAAGTGTGAATGCAGGGATTGCATAATCAGGCGTTGCTTGGTAGTGCATATCAGGCGTTGCTTGGTAATGCGGGCGGAATGCATCCCCATGTGGCGCGCAACGATGCATGGTGGGTTGCATGGTGGTAGCGTGACACACCTCTTTATGGAAATCATCTGCTCGAACCCGCCCCACTCTCGCACGTTTCACAGCCCACACCACGCCCCCATCGGCCACGTTCCCCCCATCTCCCCCGGGCGGAATCGGCTGCACCCCTCTGTACGTGTCCCCGCTGCGCCCCGTGCCTATCAAGCTCTGTGCTGCCCACCCGCCCGTGGCCTGTGCGAGCTCTTGCAGGGAGAAGCGGCGGCACCCCTGCACTTGCGGCGGCGTGGTGGCAGTGGAAGCAACAGAGGCGACTGATGACGCAGAGTGGGTGGATCCAACTGGTGGTCGTGGTGGCGGGGAGGGGGGGTGGAGAGTGGGGGGTCGGGGGTGGGAAAAGGACTTCAGTGGCGCCTCAAAAGCACGTTGCGGTGGGGTAGCGGTGGGGGTAAGAGAGGAGACTGATGAGACGGAGTCGGTGGATCCTCCTGTTGGTGGTGGTGGCGGGGAGGGGGAGGGGAAAAGGTGCGGGGGTTGAGAGGATGGAAGAGAAAAGGAAGAGAAGAGGAGAGGAGAGGAGAGGAGAGGAGAGGAGAGGAGAGGAGAGGAGAGGAGAGAAGAGGGAGAGGAGAGAAAGAGGGGAGGAGTTAGGAAAAAAGAAGAGACGAGACGGAATGAGAAGAGAAGAGGAGAGAAAAGAAGATAAGTGAAGGGAAGGGAAGAGAAGAGAAGAGAAGAGAAGAGAATAGGTGAGACGAGACGAGACGAGAGGAGAGGAGAGGAGAGGCGAGGAGAGGAGAGAAGAGAAGTGAAGAGTAGGGAAGGGAAGAAACGAGGAGAGAAGAGAATCGAAGAGAAGAGGAGACATGAAGAGGAGGAGAAGCAGTGTTTGAATGTTAGGGGCATGCAATGGATGCAAGGGGTCGGGGACACGGCTAACCAGATAGAGGGATGAAGACACGACAAACCAGGTAGAGGGATGAAGGGCGGGTGAGGGCACGGCAGCACACCGTACCGTAGCAGCAGCAACTCTCTACCTGGTTCCGATAGGTTTGAAATTTTACTTGCTTGACTGATTTGAGAAGTTTGACCGGCTTGACCGGTTGAACTGGTTTGACTGGACTGACCACATGTGAATTGCTGCTGTTGCCACTGCCACAGCTGCTGCAGCTGCCGCTGCTGTCGCGCTCACCTGAAACTGGTGTGTTGCTCTTCCGTTGCCCCGTGTCCACCTGAGGTGGCTGCTTGCCCGCCGTCTTGAAATTGCTGCCTTTGGGGGCTGTCTTGACTCGGTTGACTTTGTTGACTTGCTTGCCCAGCACGCACCCCATCACAGCCACGGCTACAGATGCAGACGCCGCTACAGATGCAGACGCCGCTACAGATGCAGACGCCGCTTCAGATGCAGACGCTTCAGATGCTAGGGGAAGTATAGATTGCAACTGCTACAAACACGGCTTCTGAAAAGAGCGAGAGTCGGAAGGTTCGCGTGAGAATGGGTTCCGGAATAGGGTGGTGCTGCGTGAGAGCGTGGGAGGGAAGGTGATGCTTGTGTCGTCAACGTAGCAAGGCAACAATTGCTGCAGCAGCAGCAGCAGCAGCAGCAGCAGCAGCAGCAGCAGCAGCAGCAGCAGCAGCAGCAGCGAGTCACACGCATGCACGCGTGCGGCCTCTTCCTTCCAACTGCTCGCTCGAACTCAGTGAATAAAAACAGAACCGAGATGATTTGCCGGAACCGCCTTAGCACGATTCTCTTCCCACGAAGTACTTGCGACAACGGCTCCTAAATGCTCCGCGCAGGTTTTGCTTATATGACAAAACGACTTTTAGTCGACTCAAACCACACTTGCCTAGGCCAAGTGCACGAGCCGCGACTTCACGCGGACACCTAATTGACACGTTGCTTCAGTTGCTCCTAGGCCTTCCAAATGCACAAGAACAGGATTCTTGGTTCAACTGAACTCGAGAGGCAACCGCGCTTACAGTACCAGACCAGCACACAAAAATGTCAATGCTTATCCCGAAGCTGCACTGGTAAGCACACGGCTAATCCCTGAGCGCAAGCACCTCTTGTCGGCAAAGGGGTCTTGTCAGCAGAGTCTCTTCTTTCACCCTCGCTGTGCTGTGCTGTGCTGAAGCATTGCTCCGTTATTGGTTGGTTGCTATGCCTATGATGTGCTCTTCAACTTCGCCGTGCCGTGTTCGTCAGGTGCATTCGTGCTGACTCCTGTTCGGCCCGACTCCGTTTCGCTTTTGGCACGTGGCAATAGAAAACCACATGTGTTGATGCTTCTGGAACATGTTTTGCTAAAATAATGCTCCTTGGAACATTATTTTTCGAACTACAAAATTTCAAAGAACAATACCATGGTGGAAATAGAGGAAACATAGCCCATAGAAGAGAGACAGTTTACACTTGACTATCCAAAACACGTTTTCTTATAGTAGTAGTGAGTCACCAGAGCAATAGTACAATAGCAGATCCACAGAAACTAAATTGCACCTATCTAAGAACTGACACTATTGAAGAAGTTACTATGAGCTGCAATAGACACTCAGCTCATGGCAACGACATGGAATTTTACTTCAAAATTTACTTGTAGGCAGGGTCCGTCCCGCATGAGCACAGCATCAGGGAGTCGGGGGCAGATCAGAATCAGTCTGGGAAGCAGTGTAGACAATATAGAGTCAATAGATAAAATTGACAGGCAGTGTATAATTATTGACCATAGTCACACAGGCAACCTCAACTAATCCCTTCTAGAAATCACTCTAGCCAGCGACAATCAGCCAGTTGGGGTGTATTGTTCAGCCCATACCCTGATTGGACACAATACCCTGTACACGGTGGGTGCACAGTGGACAGCAAAAGGTAGAGATGCATAGTACACGGTGCAGGGTGGATGGGGGGAGGAGGAGCACACGGAATGGCAAGGAATGAAGGTGAAGGTGAAGGGAAGAAGGAGTGGGAGGGAGGGAAGAGGGAAGGGGAAGGAGGAGGGAGGGAAGAGGAAGGAGGAGCGAGTACGCAGGAAGCGGGAGGGAGGGGGCGGGAGGAAGGAGGAGGACTGTAATCCGACTAAGAGGATCTGAATTCTGAAACGTCAGTGATGCAGCCTCAGCTGCAGAATACATCAACCATGCATGCCTGCCCCCCCTGCTTAAGCTTCTGTCTCCGTCCGCCTGCTTCCCGTGCCCCAGAAGAGCAACCTTCCAAGTTTCTACTCCATCCACGAATAGCCACGCCTCCTGCCCCGCCAAGGTTGTTGCTACTCAGTAGCTCCCCCGCTCCTGCTCTTCAGCCCTGTGTTAAAGACGCCAAGTCTTGCCCTGCTGCTCAGCCTGTCATTTCACTACATCTCTCCTCCTTCCCACAACTGAAGCTCAGACTTCTGAACCCCTCCTGAACAACTAATCGATCGACGCAAAGAACAACACGCCGCTCCAAATGCACCCACCCCAAGAAACGCCTTCCGAGCCAAGGCACGCTTGCCAAAACACTCCCCTCTTCCTCTTCTCCACCCTCTCTCTGGCAACTCTCCCTCCCTCCGCCCCCACCCCCTCCCTCCCCTCTACTTCCTCTTGGACTTGTAGATCCCCACGAGCACGCAGAAATACGCGAACCGCACAGCGAGCGCCATGCTGAACAACACGGCAAGGCACTGCCACTTGGTGAGCTGCGAGATGTCGAGCAGATCGCTGTAGATGCGCTGGCCGTACAGCAGGCAGCTGTCCTCTGTGATGCGCACGCCTGGCATGAGGATGCCTGGCAGGAACACGTCCAGAGCGGCCTCGGCCCGCGTCACGTTGACATAGGAGCGGATCGCTGCCACGTTCTCCATCTGGTTCAGGCGGAAGTAGCATGCCGTGTCCTCCCTGGGAGCGTGGGGCAGCAGGCGTGACGGATGGGTGGGTGGGGCAGGGAAGGGGAGAGAAGCGGGGGGGGAGGAGAAGGAAGTAAGGTTACGTGTGGAAGGACGGGACACAAGGGTACGCGCGTACACGTCACTAAAAAATAAAAGGGTGAAGGAAGTAGCGAGAGGAAAGTGGGGTGGAAGAGAAGGGAAGAGGAGGGAAGGGAGACAGGGATGAGAGAGGGGGACGGGGAGAGGGGGGCGAGGGGGGCGGGAAAAAAAAAGAAGACACTCTAGCAGAGTAGCCGTCTATATATCCGCAAACATAGCATACCTGTCGAACTCATTGAGGACCATGGCCTCGTAGGCGTATTTGATGGGCGAGAGGTAGTGCAGCCAGATCCAGAAGGGCGGGATGGCGGTGCGCGGGATGTAGAAGCCGCTGATGATGGTGAAGTACGCCATGCAGCTGATCACCACTGCATACGCCAGGATGATGCTGTGGGGGGGGGGGGGGGAAAGGGTGGGGAGAGAAGGGGAAGGAGAGAGGGCTTTTGAGACGTCTCAGACGCCGCTGATGATGGGGAAGTACAACACGCAGCTGACCAGCGCTGCATGTTGCCAGGATGATGCTGTGGGATGGCTGGGATGGGGGGGAGAGGGAAGGGGGAAGGGGAAGGGGGAGAGAGGAGGGTGTAGATGAGTAAGGAGTCTAGCTGAAGGTGGTAGTGACATTCCCTGCTGGCGCCACTGCTGAGAGCTCTCAAAGGCAACGATCACTGACCTGCTGAAGAAGGCGCTGCAGAAGGTGGCGATGGCGTTGCCAGCGAAGAGGCATCCGAAGCAGAGCAGCGCCATGAAGAAGAAGCCGCTGGCGCCGCCCGACAGCCCGACACACCACCAGGACTCGAGCGTGATGACGAGCGCCATGAGGATCTGCAGCGGCATGTACACGAGCGCGTGCGCCACCACGTACGTCGACGTGCGGTACGTGTTGTGCGACGTCTCCCGGATGAATATGTGCCGGTCCTGTGGGCGACAAGTCCAAAGGGGGAAAAGAGTGGGGAGAGGGGGAGTTGAGGAGAGAGGGGGAGTGGAGGGAGGATGAGGTACAAGATGGGGGGAAGGGGGGGATTAACCACCCGAAAGCACGGGAGGTTTCGCGGATGGGGAGGGGGGAAATAGGAACTAGGGGAGCGTGCGCGTAGTGATGATCCTGTCCTATACAACCAGTATTCCACTCATCAAGATGAGTCACAAGTAGGTCGGTGAGAAGGTACATAATACAGCATGGATGATGGATGGGCTATGAAGAAGATAACATTTTTATGATGTACACAAATACAACGCCATGGACTCACGCACCTCTATGAAAATGGGGGTGGCATCGGCGGAGCAGAAGAACAGCACAGCCACAATAAAAGACAGGTATGCCAGCCGCTCCCACAGGCCCTTGGGCCTGATATAACGGATGGAAGCGCGGAGGGGGTAAGGGGGGGGGAGGGACGGGAATTGAAAGCCAATCAGTTCGATTACGTTATTTAGTATTTATGTTTATATCTAAATGATGCATGAGAAGTGAGAGGAAATCGTGGAATGTTCTACGTGGAATTGGAAATCGCGAAAATTGGGCGACAACACCGTTGTCGCAAAACACGGCGCAATCGCAAAACGCGGCAAACAATCGACAAAAGTTCACACAGCCAAATCAGAAACACCCCTTCGCCTCGTTTCGCCATTTTTTTCGCTTACGTGTGCGGCGGTTGCCAGAAGAGCGACGAGAGCAGAAGACCCGCGACAGTGAGCAGCCCCAGGCGCAAGCCGTACAGCGCGGGGTTGCGCGTGATAATCAGCGCCGCGCGGCGGAGCAAGATCCACAGCTCGCGGGGCCAGCTATTCGCGTACCGCCTCGTGCCCTTATAATTGCTCTCTACCACGCACTGCTGTTGCTTCTTCTTTAATTGCTCCTCCTGCCTGTACCTACTCTCTTTCTGGAAACCCGACGTCCAGCGGGACGGCGGCGCGGAAACGACCTTCGCCGACGACGTTGACGGAGGCGCGCCATCCGCACCAGCAGGAGCAGCATCCGCCGCTACCTGTTTATCAGCAGCTGATCCGTCAGTAACGCCACCGGCGTCGCTATCAACCACCAAGCCTTCCTCCGGGATTGCCGCTGGCGGGGAACGCGGCGGCACCAGGCGGCTCGTCGCCGTGTCTGCTGTGGCAGCTGGAAGCAGCGGGGAGCTGCTGTCGTTACTCCCGCTGCTCTCGCGAGTGTCGCCGCTTTCGCAAGCTCCGTCATTCTTCGAGCCGTCGCACGCGCGTTCCGCGCCGTCAGAAGCGACATCCCCGTTAGCAGCCTCTGCGATAGTAAGACACTTGCCGCGAAGCCACTCCTGCGCGAACGCGTGTAGCTCCTCCAATCCCGCGGGCGTCGCGCGGAGCCTGTCGAGCAGCTCGAGCGCGTACTCCGTCGG